ATTATCAATACATATTGATTGCATGGTTGGTTAATTTCAGACTGCAAAAATTGGTTGAAATCTTCAATTTTTTCATCTTTGGCTTTAGTGGTTGGTGCATAAATTTGAACAATAGTCCTATTAAGTGGTCTTCCTTGTAGGTGTATGGATATTATTCTATCACTGACACCACTGTACTTCAGGCTAGATCTTGAAATATTCTTTGGGATGAAGAATGTAATGCCATTCCTCTTCAATTTGTCATTCCAGGCATAGTAGGCCATATGATTATCCAATTTAAAATGGCCAATACCAGTCCATTTGAGCTTACTAATGTCTAGGATATCAATTTTTATGCACTCAACTTCATTTTTTGCAACTTCCAATTTTCGTAGATTCATACTTTGTACATTCGATGTTCTGATTATTAATGGATATTTGCAGCTCTCATTTTTTTAAAAAAATTATTGCGATTTTGGTGAAAGTTTACAGAGCAATTTCATTTTCCAGCAGTTTATACACATCTTGTCTCATAACATTGACTTCAATTTCCCAAAATGTAACATCTCTCTTCCCACTTTCTCCTCATAGTTGCCTCTTCCCTGTGTCCTTCCCTCACATGCATTCCTGCCCCGAGTGGTCTCCCTGTTCACACACTGCCCTTCTGTTCTGCCATTATTGATCTCTTCAAAGAGTGCATCGACCTGATGTAAATGTTCAGCCCATATGCTGGTCTTTTATTTGGCTGGAAGCCACAGGAGTGAGTTCAATTCCACACATGAAAGGCAGCTAGGGGCCATAGTCTCAGGGGTTTCACCAGGCTTTATCAGCTCAGGAAGGCTGGCCTTGTTCTCCCACTCTATCTAGGATCTCCTACACAGATCCCCCTCCAAGTGGTTGATGGTGGTAGCTGGGCACCATATAGTTCTTCTGGTCTCATGGTCATATAGGCTAAGGATCGCATGGTGTACCAGTCCCTTGGACTAATTGTTTCTGTGCATCTTTGATTTTCTTCATTATTCTTTGCTCTGGATGAGGACAGACCCATCATGCAACTATCATTTTGAGTCATGCCCCATCAGTCAATGAAGGTCCCAAAAGCTTTACTCCATCCAAATCATTAAGGTTGACTCTACTTTTAGGAGGCATCTCTTCCTCGGTCTTATTTTTTGGCACTCTATCAGACAATGTTTCACTACTATTCATATGGTTTTCAGTGGCCAGTTTCTTCAGGCCATGTGCTTCTTCCTCGTCTGTTTTAGTCTGGAAGCTCCACTGAAATCTGTCCACCATGGGGAGATCCTGCTGGTATTTAAAATACTGATGCTTCAGCATCACAACAACACACAGGCCGCCAAAGTAAGACAAATTGACAGATGAGAGACAAAGTAATTTTATAGAGTTTAGTTTAGCTTCATAAAAGGTTCATGAACAGACAGCATAACAGCTCAGTAAGACATGCTCCTCAGGACATAGAAAAGGTGGGAGTTGTTACAAGAGATAAGATAAAGAAAGAGGGGAAGAGAAAGAGAAACAAAAGAAAATAAAGCACCTTTTATATATTTTGATGTATTATTAAGTCATGTAAGAGTAGGATGTACAGACTGCCCAAACATTTAAACTTATCTATTGAGAAGCCTAGGAGCTGTGGTGATGCAGTGGTTAAAGCATGTGGCTGCTAAGCAAAAGGTCAGCGTTTGGAAGCCACCACCAGCTGTTCCATGGGAGAAAGATGAGGCAGTCAGCTTCTGTAAAGGTTTACAGCTTTAGAAACGCTATGGGGGCAGTTCTACTCTGTCCTAAAGGGTTGCTGTGGTAGTCGAGGTTATGCATCAACTTGTCTGGGCCTGGTTTTGAGTGGCTGGGCAGTTGGATGCAGTGATTTCCCTGGATGACACTTGTAATCAACTCTATGATGAAATCTACTGGAGCAGCCAAGTAGCTGCCTTAGGGATATGGTCTGCTTCCAGTATGTAAGAAGAAGCTTTGAGGGAGGTCTCTGAGCTTTTTGACATGTTTGGATCCTGCAATTAGCTGAGTCTTCATTCAACAGTCTGCCATGTTGCCTGCTGATCTTGGGACTGATTCTGGACTTGATCTAGTGGCCTGCTGTGTTGCTTAATAATCTTGGGAGTGTGCCATTTAACTTGTCAACCTTGGGTTTGTTAGCCTCAGCAGCCAGCAGCTGTCTGAGTTAAGAGAAGCCTCCAGCGTCTGTGGGCCAGGAGAAGACAAGAGGCAGAGCTGAAGCCCAAGGTCAAGGAGCTTTCACCCAGTCCCTAGAGCTGGCATTTTGAACTCAGACTTCTAGCATCTTAAACCGTAAGAGAATAAACCCCTGTGTGTCAAAGCCATACATTTGTGGTATTTTCTGTTAGAGTGGCACTAGATAACTAAAATGAGTTGCTGGGAGTTGGAATTGACTTGTTGGCAGTGGGTTTTTGTTTTTTTTTTTAAATTTGAAAGTGTGTGCATGGTGTGGACTAAAATTTCAAGAAGAAATTTTGTGTATACAAATGAGATCAAAGTAGATAGGAATTCAAAGAAGGGGAGCCCTGATGTAGAACTATCCAAAGTTCTTTAACTCTTTCAAAGAGGTTTATTAACTCCAGAAACTTTGGAGAATAAAGTAAATTTAATAGGGTCCAACAGCTTTGAGATTCACATCCATACCCAAGGACACTGACCTGTTTCCTGCCCTATATGTCTCCCTCCAATCAAGTTAAGAGCTGCTAGAGTGATGGAATATCTTGTCCAAATAACTATTAAAATTAAGACCCTTGGTAGGGTGAGGTGGGGAGATCAAGCCATAGTGGAGTAGGGAGCTTACCCGGACGTTCTAACCTGAGCTGGGATCACGTCCTTCCGTATTCGGGCAGCAGGGGGCGCTCTGGCAGGAGCCGCGCCAGACGTGCCGGGCCCTCTGGCGCAAGCTAGACTCTAGCTTCCTCTGATGACTTCCGGCGCGCTTCCCGCGAGCCGGACGCGGCGGTGGTATGGATCGCAATCCGTCTCCTCCGCATCTGTGTCGGGAAGAGGAGGAAGATGAGGCGGTGGCTGGAGGAGACTGCATAGGGAGCACGGTCTACAGCAAGCACTGGCTCTTCGGCGTCCTCAGCGGGCTTATTCAGGTGCGTAATTTGCCCCTCCGGTAGGCCCTCACACCCCTCAGACACCCCGCCGCGTCTCTGCGCAGAGTCTTCCTTTCTCCGCAATCGCCTTCCGCATGCCCACCCCTCCCTAGGCACCAGCCGCGGGCACTCACACTTTGTCCTCACACCTTGTGTCCTGACCACTTCCGCTGCACCCGAAAACTGTCTGGGGCCACTACCGTGTCCCTCAACACAAAGGGAAGCACAAAAGCAGAGATACTGGAATGCGTGCTGTTAAAACCTTGTACTTTTGCACATTTAACAAAAATATATGACCATGTAAATACGGTGCTCGTCTTTTTGCTCCTCAGTCCCATTGACATTGCCGAAGCCCAGGCCCTAATGATCTGTTTCTTGGACTTTTGCTGTAGTGGCTTTGGAGTCATACAACTTTGCGACCAATATCTGGCTTTATCACCTACTAGCTGCGTCTCGATTTCTTTCTCAACGTATATAAAATGAGATTATGATGGCCGTAGAGTGCTTAGTGTTGTGTTTTAAATGTGAATTGTCTTTTTTCACTTTTCCCCAAATTCCTTGCTTCCATTTTTTCTCCTCACCAATTTGTCTTCTCTACAGGTGTCAGAATAATCTTCCTTTTTTAAAAAAAAAAAAAAAAAAAAACCAAACTTGTTTCTGACACTCCTTTAAGTTATCTTGACTACAGGAGAAAAATGCAGATTTCTTAGCTTGGAATCCAAGGCCCTTGGCAGCCTTTCAGCCTATCACATTCTATGTTCCATCAACACTAAACTGTTCACCATTTCCTGAACATGCCCGGCCTCTATTAATTCTGAACTCTCTACTTTCCTCTAATCTGAATGCCCTTCTCCCCTTTCTTACCTGGCAAACTCCTGTTCTTCCTCCAAGACTTAACTCAAATACTACTTGTTAAGAGACTTTTCCCCCAACCTCTCCAGGGATGGGTGTCCCAGGCATAAGTTATTGCTCCAATCATTTTGCTTCCACAACCCTTTGTCTTCAATTTAGTTGAATCACTTAGCCTTTTCTGTTCTGATTATTAGTATGTATGTCTTTTCTCTGCTTAATCTACGTTACTTAAAACTAAAAAACCAAGCCCACTTCCATCAAGTTGATTCCAATTCATAGTGACCCCCATTGGGTTTCCATGGCTGTAAATCTTTACGGAAGTAGATTGCCTCATCTTCTTCTTGAAGATACTGTTAAGTTACTTAAAAGCAAGGGTTACATCTTATCTTTGTGCCCCTAACCCAGTGCCTACCAAAAGTAAGCCCTCCATAAATGTTGAGTGAATAGCGCTACCCAAGGCAGTATGTATGTATGTATGTATGTATGTATGTATGTATATATATATATATATATATATATATATATTCAAGAGATTTTTGAAAGAGAAGATACTTTGAGGGTAGTGTCTTTGTGACTTCTAAGCTATTATGGGCTCATATTAACTTGCAGAGTACTATGGATAACTTTTATTCATCCCTTTTCTCCCTTTGTGTTTCTGAAGATTGTTAACCCTGAAAACACCAGACTCAGCTCACATGATGAGGAGCAGCAGATGGAGCTTGATGAAGAAATGGAGAATGAGATTTGCAGAGTATGGGACATGTCAATGGATGAGGTAAGGAAACGCTGTTGGAAATGAAACTCTGAAAAGACTTTTGGGTAACAAAGAGATGAATGGATTTTTTTTAAAAAAAAAATAAAGTTCATTCTTTCAGTCTCTGGGGAAAGGCCCTAATCTTTAATGTCTGTAATCACTTCTCTGTGTGTTGGGGGAATGAGTCTCATGAACTACAAATGCTGAACTTTTGTCTTTGAGGATAAAGGATGTGACCCAACACTCATTCAGTTTAGGTTAAACATACAGCTTTCATGAATGTTAGAAAACTTACAGCCCAGCCAGTTTTGATATTTACCTATCTAAAGAGACTTTGGCTTTGTATTTGATAGCAGGTTAAGAGTTGGTAGACCACTGATGCACCATGATCCATTTAGAAGGAAAGAACAAAAAGGAATTATGTGTAAATAATTACAATAATAATAATATTTTCATACTCATTCTCATATATATTACTCTATTTGATCTTCATAATAACCTGTGATAGAAGTAATACCCTCATTTTACAGGTAAGGAAATAGTGCAAAAAGAGATTAATTGATTTACATAATCTCTCATTTTATTACTTGGACTTTTGCAATAGATTCCTGAGTAAAATCCTTGTTTTAGTCTCTTCCACTTCCCTTATGTCCTTCACATTGCCACTGAAGTTATGTTTTTCCCTAAAATCCAGATTCAGTTTTTTCTATCTTAAAAGTTATAAATGGCTAAATGTCTTCAGGGAGCTCTGGTAGCATAGTGCCTAAGTCACTTGACTGCTAACCAGAAGGCTGGCAGTTCAAACACATCAGCCACTCCTCGGAAGGAAGGTTGGGCAATCTACTTCCGTAGTGATACTGCCTCGGAAACCCAAGGAGGGGTTGCTATGAGTCAGTTCCGACTCGACGGCACATAACAACAACAACAACAACAAATGTCTTCAACCATGTTTTTCTTTTAGCAGCTTTATTGAGGTATCACTGACAAAAAAATTGCCTGTATTGAAAGTGTACAATTTAATAAGTTTGGATAAAATATACATTTACATTTATATATATATATATATATATACCATCACTGTAACCAATAATCATTTATTTCCAGGATGTAGCTTTATTTCTCCAAGAATTTAATACTCCTGACATATTTATGGGAATATTGGCCAAATCCCAGTGTCCTCGATTAAGAGTAAGTATGTACATTTCTAAATCCTTTTAGATAGTCTAGGTAGTCTTTCCCTTTAATGTTTTATTTTTTCTGATTGACTATAAATCACCTCATCAGTGTATAAATGTTTAGTGAACATCTACTAGGTACTTACTATTTAAAATGAGTACAGTCATAGAGTTTTAGATTTTGACTGGACCTGGGAGAGTAACACTTTGATTTAATAGCTCTGGAAACCAGGTAGGTTGAATAACTTACCAAAGTTAGCTGCTAATACTTGACAGAAAAGGGAACAGTGCCTAGATCTCTCATTTCTCAGTTCATTGCTTTTTTTAATTCACAAAAATCCTCCCTTAAAGGTTTCTAGCCTTCTTTCTGAACTCAGCCTGTTGCTTAAGACTTGCCACAGTCTGAGCCTAACTAGTTTAGCCAGGCCTGTCTATTCCTGTCTACTGTGTCATGAGTTTACTGTGCTTATTGCCATCCTTGTGCTTCCTTTTGTTTACCTTCTGTCTTCTGTTTTCACATCTGTCCCAGGAAGGAGTTCTGATGGTTCAATGGTTAAAGCATTGATCTGTAACCAAAAGGTCAACTGTTCGAATCCACTAGCCACTCCTCAGGAGAAAGATGAGGCATTCTGCTTCTGTAATGATTTATTGCCTTGGAAACCTTATGGGGCAGTTCTACTCTGTCTTATAAGGTCACTATGAGTAGGCATTGACTGGATGGCAGTGGGTTTAGTTTTTAGGTATCATCCCCAGTGATGCTTTTTTCCTAAGCCTTTCCTAATAAGTAAATTCTCAGTGGTGGTTGCTGATTGTAAACTCCCAAGAACAATCATCTGTACCTCTCTCATTTAGTCTTCTTTTTTTTTCTTCCCCTCAGTCCTGGGACATTCCTATAAACTTTTTTCCCCCCCCTTTTTTTTTCCATTGTGATTTGGACGAAAATCCACAGAGCAAATTCACCCTCCACACAGCAGTCCACACACACACTGTCCCATTGACACCGACTACAACTCACCACAGTGCAACAGCTCCCCTCCCACCCCCCCGACAGTCACCTTCCCCGTCTCATTTAGTCTTGATGTACTGTGCAGAGTCCTGTGCTCTACTGCTAATTAAGTTACCATGTGCTATGCATGTCACAGGTAATTAGTAGATATCTGTTGAAAAATTATTATTATGAATTAAAAAATTCCCGTCAAGTAGAGTCTAGCTCCATGGAGTTTTCTTGAGTGTGTTCTTGTGGAAGGAGATCTCCAAGCCTTGCTTCTTTTGCTCCAGTAGGTGGGTTTGAACCACCAATCTTCAGGTTAGTGGATGAGCATGAGCTATTTGCTCCATACAGGGACCTCCTGTAATTATGAATAACTGCTATTTATTGAGTATTTGGTTTTACCACTCCTATCAGGTAGATGTTATCACCACTTTACAAATAAAAGAACTAAATCTCAAGAAATTTGTCCAAGGTCACACAACTAGGAAAGACTGGAGATAGGAATTGAGCCTAGGTCTATGACACTCCAGTGTAATCATTACACTGTATTGCCTTTCTTTCTTTGAGATTACAAAGTGGTTAAATCTGTAGTATATTATAAATTATAGTATATTTCTACCAGTTGAATATTGAATTAAAATTTTTATTTGGTAGAATATTCTGCTTGAATAGAGACCTGGTTAACTACTTTCTCCTTGGGTCATAATGATATGAAGATTTGCTAACCAGTTGCTGTGGAGTCTATTCTGACTCATGCTGACCTGGTGTACGTAAGAATAGACTGTTGTCAGTGGCTGATTTTTCAGAAGTAGATCACCACGCCTTTTTTGGAGATAACTTTTCTCTCTGTTTTCACTCTTCTTGGTGCAGTGAAAGTTTCTGTTTTTGTTGTTATTTTTGTATATGTGTGTTTCACCTCAGATCCATTGTGACCTGTGAAATTTGATTTTGCAGGAAATCTGTGTGGGAATTTTAGGCAATATGGCCTGTTTCCAGGAGATATGTGTGTCCATCAGCAGCAATAAAAATCTTGGGTAAGTCTTACTGTGTAATATTTTTTTAACAGATTCATATTTCATATCCCTAAGGAAATTTTAATATATAAGAAAGATAAGAGTATATCGTGAAACATTCTTACCTTTGATGAATATTTTTCAGGAACTTTATTGTGTGTTGATGGTGCTGGGGACTTCCACACTATTTATAGACATGATTCAGGCTTTAGACTTACTTTCCTTGTCAGTAGAAGGGGTCTATTTAACAGCAGGTTATAGAACATACATAGGATAGAAAATAGTAGGGCAAAACTTGGAGTTGGGGACATCTGACTAAAGTCCAAAACAATTTATAAAAGAAAGGATTACCTCTTACGGTGTGAAAGACTTTAAAATCTTAGTTCATGGAATTTATTCCTTAGTGATTTATAATATTCATGGATTAAATGACTCAAAGTTATGTTTGGCTCTAGTTTTCCATATAAAAATGTGATTATGAAAAATACTATCAAGTCTAAGGGGAGACTTAGTCAATTAGATGCTTATCTTAAAATGAAATGATACAGAACAATTTGCATTGTTCATGGGATGTGCAATAGGAGCATTGCTTGAAATAGCCCAATACTGTGATCAACCCAAATGTCTACCAATAGTAAGCTGGAAAAATAAATTATTTTCTATTCATATAAGAGAATGCACTACAGTAATGAATCAGAGCAGCAGTGACAAGAACAGCGTGGTGATTCTTATGGACATAATATTGAGCAAGAGAACTAAGACTCAAAAGAATACACTCAGTGTGATTTATTTTATATAAAGTTCAAAAATAAGCAAAACCAAAATAAATAAAATAATTATAGAGCAAAACAAGAAAATGATTGCTAGAAAAAATCAAGACAGTTATTTCTAGGTAGGTAAGGGACTTGTAAGGGACATACAGTGCAAAAACGGCAAGGAGGCCACATGTTCTGACCTCCTCTAATCTCACAAGAGAAAGACAGGATTACCAGCAGTAACCCAAGGCCTATTACTGCAAGGCTAGACATGCTGCCTCCCTCCAGCCCTTGCTCCAACCGTTCCTCCCAAAGCACCCACCACCTCCCTCCTGGGTTCGATAATTCACTGCAGTGGCCACACAGAGCTCACAGATTACGGGGTTTATTAGGGAAGCACCAGGCTACAACTCAAGTTCAAGAAAAATGCTCAGTCTCTCTCCCAGCCCACCGTCCCTCGGCCAACAGTCTCTCACAGTCACTTTCCCAGCAGCACTGGTCCCTCGGTGTCTCACTCAGCAATGCGTGTCTCTTGTGTCTCTTTCCCAGCAACGCATGTCTCTTTCAGGGGCGCGTGTCTCTTTCAGCAGCACGTCTTCCTCAACCAGCAGTCAGAGAGAGTTCTGCCTCTCGGAGGCCTCCTTTTGAGCCCGGAAGGGTGGTCAAACTAGCCAATCACAGCATCAGAACTCTAAGCACGTGGGCACCTCCCAGAACATTGTATTGTGCCACTCCCAATAGAAATAACCCAGGTGGATAGCTTCAGCAATCAGGGGCTGCTCAGTTGCTCATAGAAAATCCCACCTTGGAGTTTACAAAGTCTTATGGGTAGAAAAGCCACACTAAGTAATTTGCTACACTGCATACAGGCTATGGAAGTGTGGCACTGTTCTCTTGGAAATATGAGTATGCTTTATAATTGTTCATTAACTATAGATTTGTATCCTATAGAATTTTTTTAATGTATGCTATATTTCACGATAAAAATGATTAAAAAATTAAATGAAAACTCTACCTTCATATTTGAAAAGAGAGCAGTAAGGTATATCAAGTTAATGTTTGTTTTTGTAGACAGGTATTATTACACTGTTTGTATGATTCAGACCCTCCCACTCTGCTGGAAACAAGCAGGTATGCTTTTCTCTTTTTATGGTTTCCATGTACTCATAAGGGAATCTAGAAAAATACCATTAATTCTGCATGTGAATGATTTTTACTTGCTTGAATTTCCTTTACTGTTTTTAAAAAATAGAAATTAAGCTCACATTTATCATGTAGGTTGTTGCTTACTTGCCTTTCCCAGACAGAAGTAGCCAGTGTCTGGGTTGAAAGAATCCGGGAACATCCGGCTGTTTATGAGAGCATTTGCTTCATCATGTCAAGTTCAACAAATGGTAAGGCACCATGTAATCTAGGAAAAAAACTTTTAGATTATGTTTAATTGTTGGGAAACCATGTACAGGCATACCTTGGAGATATTGCTGGTTCAATTCCAGACCATTGCAGTAAAGCAAATACTGCAATAAATTTAGTCGTGAATTTTTTTATTTCCTACTCCGTATTAAATTTATGTTTACACTATACTGTAGTCAATTAAGTGTGCAGTAGCATTATGAAAAAGTTTAAAATATTGTGAGAAGTACCAAAAGGTGACATAGGGACACTAAGTGAGTACGTGCTGTTGGAGAAATGGTACTGATAGACTTGTTGGACACAGTGTTGGCACACACCTTCAATTTGTAAAAAAAAAATGCAGTATCTGCAAGGCATAATAAAGAACAATAAAATGAAGTATGATTACAACGTTTTTGAAACTGACTTTAATTAAAAAGAAAGAAAGTTAAGTACAAGGTGAAAAAGTATTTCTATTCAAGATATAAATTTCTTTTTAAATTCCCGGGACTCCATTTAAAACTAAAGGAAAACAGCAAATGTAAATGTAGGAGGTAAAAACAGAATATGTAATACTTTGGTCTGTTGTTCCCTATCAAGATGTAACTTTGTTGGAAAGCTTTAAGAGTTAGGATTAACCATATTGCTGAGGAAGCGAGCTGGCAGTGGTTCAGAACAGCTAGGGGAGACCAGGAAGTGAGTGGAGCAGTTTGGAACAGCTTAGGGAGACGAACTTGTCTGTCGGTTTGTTGTACTGTGGTAGCTTGCTTATTGCTGTGAGGCTGGAGGCAATGCCACCAGTGTTTCACATGCCAGCTGGGTCACCCATCGTGGACAGGTTTCAGCAGAGCTTCCAGAATAAGATAGACTCAGAAGAAGAAAGAGGCCATACACTTCTCAAACAATTGGCCAATTAAAACCTTATGAATAGCAGTGAAACACCATCTGATTTATTACTGGAAAACTTTATGAATAGCCTTAAAACATAGTCCGATACAGTGCTAGAAGATGAGTCACTCAAGTCAGAGGGCACTCAGAATACAACTGGGGAAGAGCTGCCTCTTTGGAGTAGAGCCAATCATAATGATGTGGCTAGAGTAAAAGTTTCGGGGCCTCCGTTTGTTGATGTGGCATGACTCAAAATGAGAAGAAGCAGCTGCAAACATCCATTAATAATTGGAACATGGAATGTATGAAGTATGAATCTAGGAAAATTGGAAGTTGTTAAAATTGAAATGGAACACATAAAGATTGATATCTTAGGCATTGTTATTGTTGTTAGCTGCCGTCAAGTCGTTTCCGACTCAAGAACAACCCCATGCACAGCAGAACGAAACACTGCCCGATCCCGCACCAGCTCTATGATCCTTGCTATACTTGAGCCCATTGTCGCAGCTATCGTATCAGTCCATTTCGTTGAAGGCCTTCCCCTCTTTAGTCAACGCTCCACCTTACCAAGTATGAGATCCTTCTCCAGGGAATGGTCCCCTCTGACAACATGACCAAAGTAGGTAAGACGAAGTCTGGCCATCCAAACAACGTGAATTCTTTGACAACTTCAATCTTTTCTCTGTTTATCGTGATGCTGCTTATTGGTCCCTTTGTGAGGATTTTTGTCTTCCTTATATTGAGATGTAACCCATACTGCAGACT